ATAAAGTGTGAAAGAGCTTTGGGACGAATAATAAGCATTGTCAAGCCAGGACAGCTGTTGCACTCTCTCGGTGGAAACAATATGTTGCACATCCTTTTGATACTATGGAATTAAACCATTAGAAACAGTTTTCATCTGGATCTCCTAAATCTCTTGGCATTATAAGAGTAACTGGTTCTCCTTTATGTTATATTTTATTTTTAAAACTCTTGAGAGAAGTGCTGCTTTAATTAAAAAAGAAAAAAAACTTTCTAAGCAAGCAGGGAACCAAAGTTTTTAGTGTAATTATGCACTGTGAATTCTTTGTAACAATTACTGGCTCAGAAAGGAAACCTCAGCCCTGGGGGCAGTGAGCCTTGTAGAGGCCTGGATGAATCAGAGTGGTTGTGCCAAGCACTTCTTTTGTGAGTGTGGACCAGCCCTCTGTGTGGCTGTGCGATAAATAGTCTAGGTCTGGGCCGGATGCTCGGGTTATGTAACTCACTGTGCTGCTCTCTCCCTCCTCCCGAGATCTGAGGTTTGACTATGTGACTGCAAACAGGGCCTCTGCACATGGTTTAGGAGGAGAGAGGATGAGGCAGGTGCATAGAACCTTTGAGGAGGAGAGAGGATGAGGCAGGTACATAGAACCTTCCCTCCCACCCGCTCCCCAGACAAAGAGGCATCTCTGCTATCGCCTCTGGAGCTTATGGGGGTCCCAGAAGGGTCTTGTGTCTTTGCATCTCTCCAGTGCACAGTGAGTGCCTTGCATATCAAAGGTAGTCAGTATCTCTCTGAACAGAGGGAAGGACCGCAGATAAATATGAGTAGAGATGATAATTTGGTGATGAAATAGATGGTCCTCGGGCTTGGGGTTTTTGGAGACAAGGCTATTCTGTCGGGCACTGGAAGCTGATTTGGATGATTGGGGTTCTCATTAAGGTTTTACTGCTACCCAGCTATGTGGCTTTGGGCAAGTCACTTTCTCTCCTTGTTAATGAGTGGAGTGGATGAGTTGATCCCTAAGGGTCTGCAATTCTAAGCTTTCCAAGGTTGCCATTGCTCCAGCTGGGTAAAGAAAGCTGCCTTTGAAAAGGAAGAGACCTCTGGGTTTTTCTGGCTTGTACAGAATTGGTTCCTGGCTAAGTTCCCAGAGGGTCTTCAGATGGCTGGTCAGTTGGTTTGTGCTCCCCAGGACCTCTGCGGGCGTGAATTCATACCAACAAGATCCAGCCAATGTCCACATACCCATCACTGCCTCTCTGAGTGGAACCCTCTTTGCATCCATTTGTCTTGGTGGGTTGTATTAGCTTCCTATTGCTGCTGTAAGAAATTCCTACAAATTTAGTGGCTTACATCAACACAAATTTCTTACCTTATAGTTCTGGAGGTCAGAAGTCAAAAAGGAGTCTCACGAAATGTACACTCTCAAAAGAGATGTCCACATCTCCTTAAGGCCACCAGGTTCTGCTGAGCTGTGCTTAATAGCTTCCTTCTTGTTCTGTTCATCCACCACTTGTGAGGCAGTGTGTCGGGGAAACATGAGAATCTTAAAGACATGCTCCCTTCCCTTGTGGGGCTTAAGTCTAGTGGAGGAGAAAGACATGTAAGCAATTATTTTTAACACAAGGCAGGATGTGCTAAGTGATGTAACAGTGACAAATTGAGGTAGTGGGAAGACAGGAGGGCGACATCAGTTTTAGCCCCTAAGGATGTCAGATCATATGCCCCAATTTTGCCTCAGAAATATGATTGTTGGGCCGGCCCTATGGCTTAGCGGTTAAGTGCACGCGCTCCGCTGCCGGCGGCCCGGGTTCGGATCCTGGGCGCGCACCAACGCACCGCTTCTCCGGCCATGCTGAGGCCGCGTCCCACATACAGCAACTAGAAGGATGTGCAACTATGACATACAACTATCTACTGGGGCTTTGGGGGAAAAAATAAATAAATAAAAAAAAAGAAATATGATTGCTATGTGCACTTGAATTTTAGGCTATTAACTCTTGTAGGCTAAGAATTTTAGTGCTTTTTTTTTTTTAATAGGATGATTTGTCATTTCCTCTTTATCTAAGAGTGTTTGGTTCAAAAGAGGCTTCTAGTTCTGATGATTCATGTGAAATCACTTCTACTCAAGGTTTATTAAAGTTGGGGACAATAAGAATGTCCTAGGCAAAGCAGAAGTTGGGAAGAACATCTGGTTAGTCTTCTTATTGCATGCTGGATCTGAATGGGTAACTTCTATAAAACCTCAACCGGACTCAGGAAAGCACTCATTCCCATGGCTGACCTACAAATACACAGCGTGGTTGGCTATCCTAGTTGGAAAGACAGCTCTTCCTTGAGTATGCTTTCAGAGGTGAAGGGGAATCTCCAGCAAGAGCTCCCTCCAGCCTAGAACACAGTTTTAGAAAATACGGCTGAATTCTCTGGGAAAAACAAAACCAACCTTGTCTTATTCTGGTCATGGAAACCAAGTTGGTACCTCATTATCGCCTTGTTAGCAAGGGCAGGCTGCATTGTGGACAAACCTGGTAGGAAGGGTTGGCCCTGTGTGGGCTGGGTTTTGAGTTAAGCTTAATTGCTCTTCTAAATCTCAGCTACTTAATGCTACACAAGTAGAAATCTATCATCAGACTCTTGACCATCCTCGTCTTCCTTTTATATACTTGCCCACGTACAAATTAGGGCCTCCCCAGCTCTGCTGCTGCCATGATTTGTGCCTGGGCCACACCAGGGCTTGGCTGCAACCAGCATAACCACCCAGAGGAGAAAAATCTGTCACCACCTTTAACCTTGACCGTCTAACCGTCCAATATCTTAAAATGCAGCCAGCCTGTTCTGCCCTTGGAACACAGCAGGGCTGCTGTCTGGGTGAAGGTAGTGTCTCTTGAGTGACTTATAGAAAATTCTTGATTTCTCACAGAATGGGAAAGAGTAACCCAAAGTCATTTTAATCTGGCTTTGAAATGTGTTTCGTACTTGTATTTGAATGTGGACGTGCTTGGTGTTCTGAGAACTCCCTTCAAACAAAACAGTGAAGCAGCCCATAAAGACGCACTGAGATTGGGCTGAGAAGCAGCTGTGCTCCTTCTCCTTTTCAGATCCTGGCTGCGGTTTGAATCCTACTCTGTCTGGTGAGTCTGTGCTCACCAACAGTGAGTGTTTATTAAGTAGGTCACCTAATCTCTCTGAGCTTTAGGTTCTTGCCCTGCAAAATTGGGGTGAAAATTACCTACCCCATAGGACTCATGGAGAGACCAAGTGAGATAACAGACCATGCACTGGTCACACAATGGTGTCACAGTAAATGTGAGAATCTTTCCCACTCACCTTTCTCCCCACTACCTGCCTCCCACCAGTCTCTTAGACCAATGCAAAGGGCCAGCCTAAGCAGAAGCTCTCTTTCCTCAAAGTATCTCCAAAGTGGGAGAGGTGTGACGTGCCCCACACTTTCCATGCCTCCCTTTCTTTCCTCACCCGTGCCTACCCCCAGGCTCTCTCCTTTTTTCCTCATCATAAGACTTTGACTGCACAGAGCATGTGACAGTGGAGACCTTGTCTAGAGTGTCCCAGCTTTACAGTTTCTGCCCCACACTTTCATGGGCGTGCTGAATGTACAGCCTGAGTTCTCTGTGGTAATCCCAACTTCAAATGCACAGTCCCATTCTTCCCATTAACATATCCTAGGAATTCCAGTTCATCAACATCCCAAACACATTTCCTGATTACACTCATCCCCCAGAAGGGGAGTTTTAAGACCCAGGAAAAAGGGTCTTAGAAAAGAACGCTGACGATGGTAACCACATATCCCAGACTTTCTGGGAAAGTGTCCCCTTTCCAGACCATTTGTCCTGGTTTTCGGTCCAGAAAATACCATAACCAACCAACAGAGGTCACAAGAAAGGCACATGTCAGACAGAACACCCCCCAGTAAGATTCTCTGAGAGCCCACCACTGCCTCTGACTCAGAGTCAGATTGTTCACTTGCAGTGTTTTTGGTATTCCTTCTGCTAGTTGGGTTTGAGAGTAGATTGAAAGGAGTACAATTCTTGTTGCTTTGGGATGGGAAATGAGGATAAGGATGAAAATATTTAGCACAAATACACACATAATCCACTCTGTGTGCCATTTTGAAGCCTGCTTTTTCCACTTCACATTAGAGTGTATGAATTTTCTCGTGTCACTAAGTTTTTTTTTCTGGTAAACAAGGACCTTACCAAATTCCCGATAGTGTCTACCATTGGCCATGATGGGGGTGGGCTTGAATAGGAAGAGAGATACCCAAGGGGGATTCAGGAGGTTGGAATGTTTTCTATCTTAAGCTTGGTGCTGGGTACAGTTTTTTGAATGTCTTAAGTCTTACATAATAAAGTAGAAATTTACACCAATAGTAAATGGTTACTTAACAATTCATTATGTAGATATATATCATAATTTACTCAATTTAAAGCCTCCTCTCCCCCCTGTTATCATGTATTTGTAATTTTCAACTTTGGACTCTTAAATACTGTATTATTATTAAACATGTTTGGGCATCAAGTTTTGTCTGCATTTTAGCTCATTTTCTTAGGATAGATTTATAGAATTGAATTACTGGGTGAGAGAATGTGGCTGTAATGAGTGCATGTTACCAGACTACCTTTTAACAAAGTTGCATGAGTTTAGTCTATCATTCACGTTGTGTCCATTCCACTTTCTCTCACCAGGACTGAGTGCTGTTCCTAAAAAAAAAAAAATATTTGCTACTTTGCTAGGCAAATATTTGTTTCTAATGGTTTTATCTTGTATCTTTTGGATTACCAGTGAGATTGAACATTCCATCATAAAATAGCTTTTCTATGGAGTTTTTGTGTTTTTTTTTATTGATGTGTGCGCGTGAGCACAGGTTTTTGCAGACTCACATGTGGGGCCTGTATGACCTGCTCTTGTTGATATGGTGGGGACCACAAATAAGCAAAGAAGGGGCCTCTTGCCCCCTCGGGGAAAACCAGGTGTGCATCTAGCCCTTTGTCTTCCTGCAGTGCCGCCAAGCTCCTGGACAAGAACCCCTTCTCGGTCAGTAACCCGAACCCTCTGCTGCCCTCGCCCGCCAGTCTCCAGCTGGCTCAACTGCAAGCCCAGCTCACCCTCCACCGGCTGAAGCTGGCACAGACAGCTGTCACCAGCAACACTGCGGCCGCCACGGTCCTGAACCAAGTCCTCTCCAAAGTGGCCATGTCCCAGCCTCTCTTCAACCAGCTGAGGCATCCGTCCATGATCAGCGCCCCCCAAAGCCATACCGGGGTGCCCCAACATGCTGCAGCCATGCCCAGTGCCCGCTTTCCCTCGAATGCAATTGCCTTCTCACCCCCCGGCCAGACGCGAGGCCCAGGACCCTCTGTGAGCCTTCCCAGCCAGCCTCCCAATGCCGTGGTGATGCATCCTTTCAGCGGGGTCATGCCTCAGACCCCTGCCCAGCCAGCGGTCATCTTGGGCCTTGGCAAGCCTGGGCCCACTCCTGCTGCGGCGGGGTTCTACGAGTATGGCAAAGCCAACTCTGGCCAGACGTATGGCTCTGAAACAGACGGTCAGCCCAGCTTCCTGCCAGCCTCAGCCTCTACCTCGGGCAGCGTGACCTATGAAGGGCACTACAGCCACTCAGGGCAAGATGGCCAAGCTGCCTTTCCCAAGGACTTCTACGGACCCAACTCCCAGGGGTCACACGTGGCGGGCGGATTTGCCGCTGAGCAGGCCGGGGGCGTGAAAGGCGAGGTAGGTCCGCTGCTGCAGGGTCCAAACAGCCAGTGGGAGAGCCCCCACGGATTCTCTGGCCAAAGCAAGCCTGACCTTATGGCAGGCCCCAACCTGTGGCCTCCAGCCCCTAGCCAGCCCTATGAGCTGTATGACCCCGAGGAGCCCACCCCAGACAGGACCCCTCCTTCCTTTGGGGGACGGCTAAACAACAGCAAACAGGGTTTCAGCGGTGCCCGGCGGCGGCGGGCCAAGGAGGAGCAGGCGATGCTGTCCGTGCGGCCCCTGCAGGCTCAGGAGCTGAATGACTTTCACGGTGTGGCCCCCCTTCACCTGCCACACATCTGTAGCATCTGTGACAAGAAGGTGTTTGATTTGAAGGTGAGTCTTCCTAAGGCAGGCTGGGAGCCACAGCTGGAGCCCGGGTGGGCTCCCCACCACAGCCCACCTCTCACTACTCATGAGCAGATGTGCTCATACATTTGGGGACTGGGTAACAGAATTTCACCATCAGGACCCTTGATTAAAATTATAAGTGTTAGAACCAAAATTCATTTCAGATATGTATCAGGGCCAGTCCCTTGCTTTAAGGCAAGTCACAGATTCTTAGCCGTGTTTATAGATGAGAAGGCTGCAGCTGGGTGGGGGGTCAAGTGACCCTACTTGGGTCACAGAGAAGGGACTCAGGAACTGGAGTCTCCTGCCTCCTCGAGGAGGGCTTTTCCTCTGTGCTATGTCTAGAAGCTACTGTTCCTGGAGTACATACGTTGTTCTGAGTACGAAAGGGGAGAAAAAAGTTAGCAGAATTTTGATCAGGGGCAAGAGAGTAATTCTCAAGTGAGACCTACACAAATTATTATAAAGGGCCTCTGCTTCCCCATCTGCAAAATGGAGATGGAGCCTCATGACACCTTCCCAGTGGTTGTAAAATGCTTTGGGTCCCTGCGAACAAAGGTCCGTTATAGCATAAATTTCCCCCCAGAATGCACTGATGATGCAGTGAAATATTCCAAAGCAATAATAATTATAACAGCTAACGTATATTACACCCTTTCTGTGTGTCAGCAGTAACTCTAAGAGGTGGATACTACTATTATTCTCATCTTGCAGATGAGAAACTGAGGCCCAGAGAGATGAAATGACTTGTCCAGGGCCCCATAGCTAGAAGGTGGTAGAGTAGAGATTCGAACGTGGGTCTGACCCTCCCAGAGCCTGTGCCTCTTAAGCACTAGGCTGTGCTGCCTCTCATCTCTCATGCCATCTGCACAGCGTAATAATCCCTGCTTGGTGGGAGTCACACCAGAGTGTGTCATTCACCTCTGCTTGGGTCATGTCGTGCAAGTGCATCCCTGTCACTCGGGTGGGACACACCCTCTCACCTCCAGTCTCAGGAGGAGGCTGACTGACACTGGGAGGTGATGGAGGATTTTATCTATCATAAGCCTTTTCTAAGGCTTTGAAATTCACTGTGAGTCCACCTGCCAGGTTCTCCCAACTGGATATAGAAATGGGTGGGGTATCTCTGGGGGAGGGGAGATGGGGGTACGGAGGAACCACAGGTCCACTGAGGGGAGAAGAGGGATGGGACTTGTGCATCTGGGCCCCTGTCCAAGATGGGCACAGGATGTGTGAGTCTGGCCGATGGAGTGAGGGCTGGATGGGGAGGCAGGACGCGGGGAGGATCCTGAGAGGGAGAGGATGAGGGCAGGGAGGTGTGTTTGCAGGGTTGGTCCAGCCTCTGGGCGCTCTGAGCTGCCTGCCTGGCCTTTACTCATCCCCTGCCTTCTCATGGACTTAGTTCTACTTCAGTCATTTTTCCTTCCTTCTGGCCTAGGACTGGGAGCTGCACGTGAAAGGGAAACTACACGCTCAGAAATGCTTGGTCTTCTCTGAAAAGTGAGTGCCATCTAGGAGAACAGGTCTATGCATACGCTCAGCAAGTGTTCATTGAGCATCTGCTATGTGTCATGTTCTGTTCTAGGTGCTGGGGAAACAGCAGAGAGCAAAACAGGCAGAGTCCCTGTCCTCAAGGAGCTTACACTTAATGCGGGGAGGGGCAGATGATAAAATAAACAAATGGATTATAGAGCATCCCTGGTGGTAAATGCTAAGCAGAAAACAATGGCAGGGCAGGGCCAGGAAGTGTGTGTGTGTGTGTGTGTGTGTGTGTATGTGTACACTCACAGGGGCTGGTCCTTGCATTTTAAATAGGCTGGTCAGGGAAAGGCCTCACTGAGGACATGTCAGGAGGGGATGGAATGAGCCTGTGGCTGTCTGGGGTCATGCACTCCCGGCAAAGGGAACAGCAAGTTTGAAGGCCCTGGGTGGCCCCAGAATGCTGAGGCAACGTGAGTGTGACCAGAGCAGAGTGCCAGGGCTCAGAGCTGGGAGGTGCCAGGGCCCAGATGCTGAGCGTTGGAGCTGGTTGTGAGGACTTCCATTTTGCTGTGAGTGCGATTGGAGCATTGGAGGGCTGAGCAAAGGAGTGATTTGCTCTGGGTCTACTGAACGGGACCCTGGCTGCTGTGCTGAGAATAAAAGGGGTGGGGCGGGGGCAGACTCAGGGAGACCAATGAGGAGGGGGCTGCAGTAATCCAGGTGGGGAGGAAGGCACGTGGGCCAGGATGGAGAACAGAGAACTGAGGTTAAGCGTTTCGAAATGAGCACATCCAAAAGACCTCCCTTTCTTAGTGTTCACGGTAGCCAAGAGGTGGAAGCAAGCCAAATGTCCACCGACAGACGAATAGGTAAACAAAATGTGGTATATCCACACAGTGGAATATTACTCAGCTTTAAAAAGGAAGGGAATTCTGACACATGCAACAACATGGATGAACCTTGGGGACATTATGCTAAGTGAAATAAGCTAGTCACAAAAAGACAAATACTGTATGATTCCAGTTACAGGAGGTAGAGCAGTCAGATTCATAGACAGAAAGTAGAATGGTGGTTGCCAGGGGCTGGGAGGAGGGAGAATGGGTAGTTACCATTTAATGGGTATAGAGTTTCAGTTTTGCAAGATGGAAGGAGTTCCAGAGATGGATGGTGGTGATGGTTGCAAAACAGTGTAAATGTGCTTAATGCCACTGAACTGTACACTTAAAAATAGTTAAGATGGGGCCGGCCCCGTGGCTTGGTGGTTAAGTGAGCGCGCTCCACTGCTGGCGACCCGGGTTCGGATCCCGGGCTCGCACCGACGCGCTGCTTCTCCGGCCATGCTGAGGCCGCGTCCCACATACAGCAACTAGAAGGATGTGCAGCTATGACACACAGCTATCTACTGGGGCTTTGGGGGGAAAAATAAATAAATAAAATCTAAAAAAAAAAAAAAAATAGTTAAGATGGTAAATTTTATGTTATGTGTATTTTACCACAATTTGAAAAAGGTCTCCCTTTTTTGGCTCCCTCTTTTTTATGGTGGTAAAATTCACATAAGAACTCACCATTTTAACCATTTTAAAGTGTACAATTCAGTGGTGTTTAGCACATTCACAGGCTTGTGCAAACGTTACCACTATCTAGTTCCTGGACATTTTCATCACCCCCAAGGGAAACACCATACCCATTAAGCAGTCACTCCCCATTCCCCCTCCCCTCCCTGGCCCCTGGCAACCACTAATCTGCTTTCTGTCTCCATGGATTTGCCTCTTCTGGACATTTCATATAAATGGAATCATTTAATATGTGACCTTTTGTGACTGGCTCTTTTCACTGAGCAAAATATTTTCAAGATTCGTCCCTGTTGTTGCATATACAACCTTTTATGGCTGAATAATATTCCATTATATGTATATACCACATTTTGTTTATTCTTTCATCTTTTGATGTATATTTGGGTTGTTTCTATCTTTTGGATATCGTGAATAATGCTGTTATGAACATTCGTGTACAAGTTTTTGTTTAAACATCTGTTTTCAACTGTTTTGAGTCTGTGCCTAGGGGAGTGGAATGTTGGGTCATGTGGTAATTCTTTAACTTACTGAAGACCCACTTTTCACCCCTCTCCAGCGCCGGTGTCCGGTGTGTACTTGGTTCGGCAGAGGGAACGCTGTGTGCCTCTCCCAACAGCACAGCCATTTATAACCCTGCTGGGAATGAAGGTGAGTGAGACCCTCCAAGTCAGCAGCTTGAAGCAGAAACCAGCTTCCCAAAGGCTCAGTATGTCATGTCTTTAATAACCAAACTGCCCTGATATGCCCTCCTGATACATCTGTAAAGCAATCAGATCCCAAGACACTAAAATACACGGGGCCTGCTGTCTGGGCTCGTCGACATTTTCTAACGTGTTTTAGACATAAAGCTTTGCTGGTTATCAACATGCCCAGAGGTGTATTCACATCAATCACTAATCAGTATGTTAGAGGAAACTTTCGTTTTTCTCGTCCCGCTTGTGTCCTAAAAACATCTTTTGAAGTTAAAGAAAATGACTGGGTTTTCACCTGGTTTTGTGTAATTTATCATTTAGATTATGCCTCAAATCTTGGAACATCCTATGCGGCCATTCCAGCAAGACCATTTGCTCAGTCAAATCCTACATTTCCTTCGGCTTCCCCGGGGACAAATGTGAGTACAGAAGCATTTTCTCTGTTGTCATTGTCACCATCAAAGCATTTGCCTCGCCTGCTATGCCTGGTATAGCGGTGCAGAGGAGGCCGGGATGAAGCAGGAGCAGGTGTGGCTTGTGCTGTGCAGGAGAACGTGTCTCTGGACAGAGCTCCAGAGCTGTTTAACTCAGTCCAGCCAGTGTGGAAACACACAGATGAAAAAGCTGACATAAATTCTTAAAGTCAGAAGCACTCATAGACTTTCTAGCGTTCGGCACTGGTTCAGAGAAGGAAAAGTTTGAGCTTTTATGCGTGTGTGTTTTTAAAGACTTCTTGATGTTTTATTGAAGTGACCATTTCCTATGAGTGGGCAATTCTGAAACATGAACCCGAAAGAGAAAATGTGTTTGAAAGTAAGGACCAGGCACTAATGGTCTGTGTTGGCCCCTTGGGGAGATGGTTGCATCTGTGGAACACTTTTAGTTGTGTTTGCATTCCTCTCTCTCTACAACATGCACTATAGGCCCCAAAGCTCTAAAGCTCCTTCCTTCCTTTTTCCACTGATTGTGACAATTCTCTTTCTCTCTTCCATTTCCTGTTTTCCCACTGCGTGCAGCCTCCTTTCTCCCGGGAGCTGTCGGCTTCTCTCCTCCTCCCCTGGGAACACATGGAAGGAGATGTAAAACATCTAGAGGGCGCGTGTTGAACCCTGCGAGAGGGCGCATGTCTGTGTGTTTTTGCCTGTGCCTGTGTTTTTTTGAATTCGTGATGTGAGCCACAGCAGCCTTTCTCTCTCCTCATGCAACGAGCGAGCACAAGCTCATGAGAGCAGGCCTCCACGTGCCGTCCCCTCCACGTGTGTGGGCATTTGAGCAAAACTTAGGAAGGGCAAGCTGAGAAGTGTAGGCGTCAGGCCCTGGGGGTGAGTGAGTGGAGAGTGAGGAGGTTCATGAGGAGAAGTGAGGCCTGCCTGGGGCCAAGATCTCTATTTGTTTGTGTCTGTTTGTTTGTGATGTTGAATGGGCGAAGTGCTTCAGGAGAGAGCCCCCTCTGCAAGCCCACGTTTTGGTGAAAGAGAATTTTGTGGTTTCCCTCTCTGCACTTTCCTTGCTCAGGGCCACGCCCAGTCAGTGGCCACTTTGTGTCAGTCCCAGGAGAGCAGAATGGCTGGGTTCAGTGAAGCCTGTAATTTGTCTTTGAGGTCAGACTCCTAATTAGATGACCTTGTGTCCCAATGGGGGTGCTGGCAGCTCCAGGGCCTGTTTCCCCCCCACTGTGGACCATGGAGGCACCTCTGTGCCTGCAACCCTGCTCCAAGCCCCCAGGACTGAGGGGAAGGGAACTGTCACTGAGATGGAGGAGGCCAGATTGGGTGGGCTGGGGTCTGGGCACAGGAAAGAGAGCCAATGTCAACTGAGCCCCTATAAAAAGGGGATGGCGCTGAGTGAGATGAGGAGAGGCTGGGGCAGGACAGCTCTACGTCTGTGTGTGCCTCAACCCCACCCTTGGACGGTGACCTGTGACCCAGAGGCCCTTTCCTGTGGATGTGGAGTCAAGAGACCTAAGCTCAAGTCCTAGTTCTGGAGCCCACCAGCTGTGTGGCCTCAGGCAAGTCGCTTTACATCTCTGAGGTGCTGTTTTCTTAAATGGGGACCATAAAGCCCCTGATAATGACTTTTGAAGATAAAATAAACGACCGAGTTTTCATCTGGCTTATGTCATTGATCGTTTTGATTATACCTCAAATCTTGGAACATCGTATGTGGCCATACGAGCAATTTCCTGACTCAAGGTGGGAGCGAGGCTCAGGGTGGACCAGAGTTGTCCTGCGCTTGTGAGGATCAAATGAGACCCTGTATGTGACAGTGATTTGTGAACTGTGCAGTACCAATGGCTATTGCTGAGTAAAGAAACCTTTTAACCCCCGTTGTGGGGAAACCTATGGTGTCTGAGGCTGGCTCTGTCTGCTAGCCGTCGTGACGTTGGGCAGGTCTCAGTATGAGTCTTTGTTGCACACGAATCTGTCTAGTAATCCCTGTAGTCACATCTGCTCAAATGCAGGTGTGTTTCTCTTTAGGAAAACCTGAAATACAAAAATATTGACGTTTGAAGACAAGCTGAGAAATGAAGAGCTGATTGATCTGCGGCTGAAAGATATTTTGCAACGCTCCTTTAAGTAGCAGGGGAATTGCTCAGAGAAATTATTGATTTTTTTCTGCCTACAAATACTGACCTCCAAAGATAAGCATCAAGGAGTTATTACTCTGTTGTCAAAAGATACTTTGTGAGGCTCAGATGACTGCCCAGTGAGCAAATTCTACATATACATTTTTATTGTTTTTCTGCTTACATAATTTATGCTTTTTGCAAACATTCAAAAGGAAAAGAAATATTTAATGAGGACGGTGAAATTCCTCCATTATCCCCCTCCCAGCTTCCACAGAGAACCCATGAAGGCTGTGATGCATTTTCCCCCAGAAATGTTTTCTGGTCCTGTGCCAGGGCTTTTTCTTTCTGATTCCACTTACATCCATCTTTTCAGAAACACATTTTGTTGAGTAAAACCAGAACCAGCCAGAACTCCACCATTGTAATAACACTATTGTTTGTAGAGCAAAGAGCAGTTGTTGCTTCTAACGCTCTGTTTTTAAGCAGGAGAACAAAGCGACTCAGGGCTCTGGGAATGAGCCTTCAGAGGGTCTCTGAACCGCTGCAAGATCTAAAACGACCGCAAAACCCATCTACCACCTCCACTAGGCCCAGGCTTGGCTGAACTTACACTTGTCTCAACTCCGTGGGAGAGCGAACCTTTCGTTTCTGTGGTTATTGTTGACGGAGGTGGGACACTGAACTGACAGCCGGGTGCCGTGTTTACTGTTGGGGGGGTGATCTGTGACTGTCCCCAGCCACCCGCCCCCCGACTCCAGGGTCCGGGAGAGAGGTGTTCACTTTCAGTTAAGCTTCTGCGATCTGATGGAACAGAGGCACTTTATTCTTGGCTGTCTGAGTGGTAATAAACAGAGTAATCAGGTTTCTGGAAGGGGCCGTCAGGGCCCTCTCAGGCTGTAAATAGTTTTCTCATGCCTGCCCAAGATGCACTCTGCCTGCTGACTGTCCCTGTAAAACCGCCTTGCGGTTTTCACAGCCACGTGGAAGTTTATTTGGTGCTGGTGCCACAGGAGGGCCTCCCTGGCCCGGGATGATACACCGCGTTTCTGTGGTTTCTGTCTCATTAGGACCCTGTACACCAGAAAACTTGTATAAATAAGGAAACTGAGGCACAAGGAAACATAAATGTTTGTGGAATGCCAGAGGTTTAGGTTGCCCCTCAGATTGCTGGCTGTTTCTAGAACCTCTGTCCATCCACCCTGGCCTTCCCGGTCCATTTCAGAGCACTCTGGTCTCCGGACTTGCAGAGAGCATGAAGAGTAGTAACTGGTGTGGCAAACCCCTCGCCCACCATGCCAGCTCTGTCCTCGCACTTCTCCCCTCTGCAGGGCCCACCTTGTGCATTTTCTAAGAGCAGGGAAACAGGAGACCTGGTGGGTTTTGTTTTCTGTTTTTTTTTTCCTTTTCTTTTTACAAATCCGAATTAATTTTTCTTGTCGCAAAAGTAGTACAAACATGGTGTAAAAAAATTCAAACAGTAATAGAAATATAAAAAATAGAAAATCTGACCGTGCAGAGAAAACTGAAGGTAAATGTCTTTTGCTGTAACTTTGTATCTCTAGCTAGTCCATGTGTGCATGTTTAATTAGAGAAACTATGTTTTTTTTGCAAAAATCAGGTAATGCCGTATAATCTGTTATGCAACTTGGTTCTTTTCACTTAGCATAAGCTCTTAATACATATTTTAAGTGGTTTCTAGACATCTTTCCACATCCAAACATAAAACCCTATCTTATGTTGTAACACCGTCCATTGTATGCATCCGCCATAGTTTATCAAGTCCACGACTGATTGACTTTTCAGTGAGACCTGAGTTGTTGTCACAAATCTACCACTACTGAATTGCTCACAGATTAGGTTCCTTAACTTCTCCCAGGCATCAGTGTCCACATACACAGTGATGGGTATGAACCAGATGACCTCCCAGCCTTAAGATTCCATGACTCTAAAGTTTACAGGGATATTGAAGTTGCTCAGCAGGTGAACCAGCCAAGACCCGTAGGCAAGTTTGGCACCAATAAAAGTACATTTACTCTAAGTCAAAGCTAATATGCTTTATAAAATATTTGAAAGTGTCAATAAAGATATCTGTGTCTATTCTCCAATGTAAGCCAAGATCCATAGCTATGGAACCCACACGCATTTGCTATGTACACAAGATGTTCAAAATCAACACCACAAGGAATAAATATTTGCCCTGTGTCTGTCCTCAGGTGTGTTTAGCACAAAACCAGCCGAGGCCCACAGACTGTGTGCCACATGAAATTAAGTCACCCCTAAAGGAGATCATGCTGGAGTACAGAAATCTTTTATTAAAGGTGGAATCTACACTTTGTAGCTCTAGGAAGCACTTTGAGAGGCTACTCTCCCCCCACAGGCCTGTTGCCCTAAGCCACATTTTTATTGCAACTCGGTGAGTTATTTGAACTGCGCCTCTTCTTTGAACTCATCTGTGAAGGCTGTTCCCACCTGCATCAGAGGGCATTGAAAGGTCTCAGAATCTTCCTACACAAGTCTGTTTGCTCCTTTCACATTTCTACCCATCTATAAAAGATTTGTGGGTGAGTTGAGAGGTCTGGGACCCAGCCACATGAACTATTAGAAGCAACATCTGGTTTTAAATGAGTGATGCCAGCGTGTAAAAATGTACAGCCCATGCCCCTGGTGGCATGTGGGGGCATTCTGGGTCAGTGCTGGCCTACAGACTGACTGAAGCGTCCCCCAGACTGAGAAAGGATGCCTGTCCCTTTAGGTTAGTACAGTCATGCACTGCATAACGATGTTTCAGTGAAGGACAGACTGCATATACAATTGTGGTCCCTTAAGCTTAGTACCGTATAACCTAGGTAT